TGTCGCGTCTCCTCCCGTAGTGCAGCAGCTAGCGGGGCCCCGGGGAGGGCTCGGCGCCCTTGCGCCCCAGCTTTGCGCGCGCCTCTTCGAGCTTCGCGCGCGTCTGCGGGAGCGTATCCAGGGCGTCTGCAAGCGAGGCGGCGCCGAGGCCGCGCTGCACCTCGCCTGCCGCCTGCGCCCTGGCCGCCCAGTGCGCGGCCGCCCTGCGCGTGGCCGCCCACTGAACCCCCACGCCACCCAGCTTCGCCGGCAAGCCTAGCATGTCGCGAGCCTCGGGCCCGAGCGGCCGCTCCGCCAGGTCCTCCCAGCAAGCGCGGAGCGCGGTGTCGTAGCGGAGCGTCTCGTCGTCAGCTGCCAGCGCCAGCTGCAGGTTGTGCTGGCTGGCGTTGCCCGCGCAGGTGCGCAGGAGCGCGGCGGCGGCCTGCCGGGGGAGGCCCCCGTGCTGCAGCTGGCGCAGCCGGCCCCAGAGCTGCTCCAAGCGCTCCCGGGCCCCGTTTTCCGCCGAGGTGGAGCGCGGCGCCGGCGTCCGTCTGCGGGTCCCCGGGCGCGCGGAGGTGGGCGCCCAGCGCGGGCAGCTCGGGCACGTAGTGGGCCGCGAGCTCTCTCTGGACTGCCTGGAGTCCGCGCGGAGACCACACCAGGGTCTTGCGAGCGTTCAACTCGAGCCCCAGTGGCGCGAGCGCTCTCGCCAGCGCGTCCAGGGTGCGAATTCCCAGGTTGGCCGTGACTACCAGGTAGGTGTCGTCAAGATGCGAGAAGAGCCGAGCTTCCGCGTCCAGCTGCTGCAGTTCGCCCAGGAGCTGCTCCAGGGCACCCCGCTGACCGACCGCGAAGCCAGCCGGGGACAAGGGGTCCCCTTGGTCGAACCCGCGCTTGCCCAGCACTGTCTCGTAGCGCCCGTCCGCCCCCCGCCGCAGGTGCGTGGCCGGCCCCGTGTGCCACGCCCGCAGCGCAGCGGCCACCTCGGGGACCTCGGCCTCCATGGCCTCCAGGGCGGGCTGGCGCTCCATCCGCTGGAAGGCGGACTTGACATCCACCTTGATGAACGTCGCGTCCGGCCGGCGCTCAGCCAGAGCCTGCAAGTGCTTCACCAGCAGGGCTGCGCCTCCCTCGCGGCCCACTCCGCACTGGTGCTCGCCAGCTGCGTCGCAGAGCTGCGTCTTCCGCGCCCGGGCCAGCGCGCGAAGGCCGAGGCGGCGAAGCGTGGCGCCCGCCAGCAGAGGCCGGACCTCGCCGGAGCCTTTGGCAAGCGCCACCAGCTCCCCCGCCCGCAAAGCCTGCAGCGTCTCCGGGGGGAGCTCTCCAAAAGCAACCCGCGCAGCGGCGCGGGCGAGCAAGCTCAAGGTCGCCCCGCTGTCGGCGCTGGCCGCGAGGTGCTCCAGCCGCGCGTCCTCCTCTTCCTCCTCCTCCTCCTCCTCCTCCTCTGCGAAGATCTGCTTGGAATGAAAAGATGCTTCTTTCCTGCTGCTCGTGCCGAGCTTGACCCAAGGCCTACGGATCGAGTCTGCTGCATGCTAAGACCACAACTGCTTGCTACAAGCAACAACTGCGGCTGCTTTTCACACAGCCTCTTCTATCTCGATACGTAGGGCCATTTGCTTTATAACCCGGGCTATCGTCAATATGGAATCTGTATCATGCATCTGGGCGTCCTGCGGCCAGGCTGGCCTGCGCGGTTCAGGCACGCGTCCCGTTCAGGGAAAACCTTACTAGGGCAGCATTCACATCAGGGCGCCTCTCACTCACCGGGGTCACCCCCGCCACGATTCTCGGCCTTGGTCTCATACTTGCACCGGTAGACGTATTCTCCCGTCTTGAGGACATGCTCCAAATAGCTCTGATCCTTCATGTGCTTGGTCAGGCGGTCGGCAAGCATCAGGCGGGTGTCAGTCCATATCAAGCCGTCTCCGACTTCCAATGGATCTCGAAGATCTGCGAGGTCCAACGCGATCCTCCTCTCCGTCGGCATGCTCCCTTCCTTACGGCAGAGGTCGACGAAGCTCTTGCAGTCCGTCGCGCACAGGCTGGGGATCTTGCCCATCAATGTCGCCCAGTCGCTCTCTGATTCCCAGCCGTGCAATATCTCGGCCAATGCCGTCCTCACGAAGCACGCCCTGTCGAACCCGTAGCTCGCACTGGCCGCCTCCGCTGCCAATGTAGATCTTACCACGCGATGGATCTTGCTCGAGCACCAGTCCACCACGTTGACTTTCTTGGCTTCGAACTTCTCGTCGGTTAGCAGGAGAATGAATCCTTGTTGCGATCCACTCCTCGGCTGTCTGTCGTACGAGGCATCGTGTGCACACGTGCGTCCAAATCGTCCCGATCCATCTCCGCGATGAAATCGTAGCTTGACGTCACGCGTCACCATCTCCTTGGCCATGCTCAACACCGTGTTCGCCTTGCACAGCTGGCCGACCGTCAAGTCTGGCGTCCGCTGTTGCAGGTCACTGACGTCATAGGCTAAACCAGGTAGTGTCGTCCGCGCGGGCCACGATAACTGTTGCCCCAGGGCTGCGGTACTTAGAGCTCTTCCTCGGACGCCTTGCTCTCGGGGTCTTTCCTCCTGGATGCCGGCACGAAGATCTTTTCCATCTTCTCGATGTACTCGTGCTGGTCGACCTCTATGGGCTTATCCGGCAGCTGATTGATGCGCCGGCCGAGGAACTCGAACTGACCCTGCTTCTCCTTGGTCACGTTGAGCTTCTCCCATACGATCTCCTTCGCTCTGGCGAAACGCTCGCCTGTGCCGCCCGAGTCCGTCGTCCACGTGAACACATAGGACCGCCTCGATCTTGCCTTTGTCGTTCCTAATGACAAAAACTCCTTTCATGGTCTTGAGCGGCTGGAATCCGGCCTGGATCAACACCTCCGAGAATCTTTCCCACCATAAGCGAGGTGACTCTAGTCCGAATACACCCTTGAGCAGTTCCACCAAGCTCCCAGCAGGAACTCCAGGTAGCCCTTCTCGGGGAGGCATCACATATAACCGTCTCGTGTTTGTCTTGCCGGTGAGGAACGCCGAGCCGATGTCGAACGCCCCGAGATCCCAGCCAAAATGCGCCGCCAAGTTCAGCAGTAGCATCAGCCCTTCCATGGGCGCCACTGGTGCATCTGTCCGTGTACCTGCCGTTTCTGACCAAATCGCCATGCGCTTCGCATGCTTGATGCCGAGCTTGCCCTGGTTGTCCGGGTCGAGATGTCCCGGGATCACAAGTCGGCTGTTCGGCTGGCCCTCCTTGAGGGTATGCACGAAGCGCGCCGGCACCTTGAATATCCTCGACTTGTCGACCTTCGCCGCCTCATCGGGCAGGACCACCCTGACGGCCTCGTGCTCCAGGTGCTGGTTCCAGTTCTTGGCGATGCTCTTGTTGAACCCGAGCCGCTCCGCCTTCGTGAACTTCCTCGAGTCCAGCTCCTTCCCCTTGGTGCCTGCTTGAAAGGGGCGGAGCTCCAGCGAGAACACGTCGTTCATCGCGTACAGCGTCTCCGTGTCCAGGTCCGGGACTGGGGTCTCGACGGCTTGGTTGAACACCGCTTCCACCACTGGTGCCTGAGGCACAACCTCTTCTATCTGCGATGGTGGTGTAGGTGGTGGCGTAGGCGCCCCAACACTCCCTGCTGGTGATGGCTGAGCTTCGGGCTCAGGTGTCTGTCGTGGTTCTTCCACTCGTTCTGAGACAACTCCCGGCACTGGCACTTCAACAGGATTCGGAGGTATCGTCGTACTCTCCATCGAGCTCGGTCTCAAGTCATCGAACGTGTGCTGGCCCCTCGAGATCCCGCTCAGGTCCATGTTGTAGTTCTCGATGATGCTGCCGATGGCCTCGCTCGCCAAGCGCTCCTCTGGGGTTGCCGACCTGATATGTTGTGGTGCCGCCAGCAGGAGGTTCCCGTTGAACACCAGCCAATACGCTTCGTTCTGGCCTTCGCGTCCCCACTCCCTGCCGAGGATGACTGCTGGACCGTGCCAACGGTCTGCTCGTCTTGTAGATTGCGCCTGCGGCTTGAAGGTACCTGCCGCTCGCCAGAGGAACACGCACTCTCCGGGCATCCACGGCGAAGGTGTGGGTCGGTAGTTGTGGACGATGGCCTTCCTCCACTTGTCACTGTTGTCCAGCTTCGCCAGCGCGACCTGAGCCGCCTCGCGTATCTTCTGCGACCGCTGGACCTAGTAGTCCTTGAGCACCGCGTCGTGCACGGCGATCTCTGGGTACTGTTCGTCGCTGAGGAGACTGTCCAGCACGCTGCCTGGTAACCTGTCTCCACAGCCGAAAACTCTCATCCTGGGGCTGTATCCTGATGGATCCACTCTTCGGTTATTGCAGATGTTCGCCGCCGCTATGGCTAACTCCATCTCAGCAGCCCTGGATGGTGCACTCGTCCACAATCGCGCGCACGATGTCGCTGCTGACGGCCCCGTGGCGCTCGACCAGCCCGTGTTGCCACGGACTTTCCGTGGGCACCACTCTCATCGTGATTCCCACCGACTCCGCGTAGGATGCAAAATCCTTCCTGAACTCCGAGCCGTTGTCGGAGTGGCACACGATAGGTACTCCAGCCCAGGCGCACCACTTCGTCATGAACATCCTGGCTGCCTCTGCACTGGAGGGATTCTCCAGCATGATCAGGCACGAGAACTTCGTCGCGAAATCCACGCAATTCAGGGCCAGGTACTTGCCTCCACTCGCGTCCTTCAGCTCCTTGGTGTCCACCCCGACCGCGATCCCAAATGACGTGGGTCTCTGTCGGCTCGACACCACTCGACGTCGCTTTGGACCTGCTCGTCTCGCGCACACCTCGCACTGCCATACCTTCGCGTCGTCCAGGTGCAGCTGGGAGGCTCCGCCTAACCACATCACTCGTACTAGCGCTTCACGGCCGCAATGACCCAGATTCCTGTGTGCTCGTCGCATTTCCGCGCGAACTTCAGGCGGAACATGAGCCACTTCTTGTTGGCCTCTCGTCGTAGTGAATATCTCGCCCGCTGGGAGATCGTCTGGATACAGCGGGTCCCTGGTGATGTCCGCCTCCTCTGACACGTCCCCCTCCTGTTCCACCTCGTCCTCCGGGTTCTCGTCCTTCCGCTGTCGTCGGAGGTACTTGCTGCTCTTGAGGCTCTGGTGGTTGTTGTCCTTCAGGATCTTCTGGGGGTACTTCCGGTAGAACTTCAGGTAGAACTTCAGGTGGGGTTCCTCGGAGTCCGGGCGGAAACTTCTTCAGTATCTTCACCACCTTCCGCAGTTCTCCTCGCGTGCCCGAGGTTTCTGGTCCATCTTGGCCCACCTGTTTGTCAAACTCTTCGACATGCCACTTCTTCCTGCCACGGTCACTTGTCTTCTTGACCGCATAAACTGATATCACGGTGTGCTCGGGGTAGTTCTTCGACCATAGTTGAACCCGACCTTGTCCCACGTGTATCACAAGGTCGCCGCTGCCATGCCAGCCGGGCGTCAACTTCGTCAAATACCTCGTCTGGTCGAATGAAACTGTACGTCGTAGTTGGCTAGCGCCGCCATGTGAAAACGTCGGCGCTCGCACCTTCTTGATGATGCCCTTCTTGTCGTTACCCAAACGTGAACGTGTGGGTGTGGTGATCGGTGGAGTGATCGTAATCGGAGGAGTCGTAGATACAACCCTCACTCTCTTCTCTTTTTGTTGGGCGTGCGGGGCTGGCGTTCTCCGTTTTGACATCGTCGGTGTGGTAATTCGTCCTCGTTTTGCCTCGTTCGCAAGGGCGTCGTGTGTATTCCTTATGTCCAACGCCTCCATGAACACGCTGATGACGGCCTCGGCGAACTCCTTCGTGTAGCCGCCGGCGTATGTGCTCGTCCTCATGTTTTGCTTAGCCAATCGCCCTTCGATCTTAGCGTGTTGTCGGTGTCCTGGGCATCGTCGTCCGAGCTTGACCGCCATCGTCTGTGTGGACATGATGATTCGTGATGGCTTCTTAATAGGTAGATCCGAGTCTGGATGTCGGAGCCCGAACGCGCACATGTTCACCACCGTCGTGCCGTGCGACTTCGGCAGCTCCACTATTGGCTCCTCCTGGAAAGCCTCGTTTGTGAGCGGGTTCTCGCCGTAGAAGTAGGCTCCGCGCTTGCGTTGGTAGTCAGCCACCCTCTTCACGAACCTCAGCGCTCCACGGGACTGCTGTTGTCGCACCTGCAACTCCTTCTGGAACGCTGGGCGGCGTGCCTGGTAGTTGTGCATCGCCGTCCAGGGGTCACAGGGCCAAGCCATGGCCACCACGTCCGGCTTGTTGTCGACGACCTCCCTCCAGGCTCGTGCCCGCCCAGAACGTGTGTAGAGGTCGAAGCCCGTCTCGATGCTAATTGGCGGCATGACCTGCCACCCTTGCGCCGCCGCCTCGCACGATAGAGCAAGCGTCCACGAGAATATCTCCAGGAACTTCCACCTCTTGGATCTCGACGTCACCGTCGGTGGGTCCTTGTGGACGGATCTCTTCGCCTCTGCAGCCAACGCATCCGCAACTCCTCTCGTGGTCCTCTGCAACCGCTTCTTCCTACCTCGCTGTAGGACTCCAACACGCGAGAGGTCCTTGAACCCGAGTTCGCCGGCCTCCTCCTGTGGGGTCATGTCCATCTTGCCATTGATATGGAAACACTCCGGGAACTCGTTCGGATTGCCATACTCTCCGATGTCTACGAGGAAATGTCCCGACCGTGATTGTTTGATCGGCTTCTTGAACACTCCGGCCTCCTCGATGTCCATCACCTTCTTGCGGTAATTGACGATCACGCCTAGATCCTGCATCGCCTGCTGCAATAGCAGTGGTGGTGTTCGTCCTTCCACTCGAGCCACCTCAATGACTCCGTGTGCGCCATTTATCCCAGCAGGATAGACGTACGACTCCGTGCTGACTGCCACGTCACCGCCGCCGAACCTGAACTCCTCATTGATGTCCTTCTTGACCGGCTGGAGGCCCAAACTCTTCAGGCGGGCCTGCAAGTTGTCGTGCCACTCGTGACCTGCGACGCTGCGCCTGCACCCGCTATCATTGATTAGCTCCGTCGTGCCGATGTCGTCCCACAACACGTCATTGACCACGAGCGCGTCCTTCTTGTCCTCGCGGCTGTACGCCTTGTCCCTGATTTCCTTCGCGTAGTTCGTCTTCGGGATCCGCTGGACGTATCGGTTGCAGTTCTTGCAGATCGCGAACGTCCAGGTAGATGTGCTGGTCCAGCGTACGTTGTCCAGGATCTCGCCCGAGCCCGCATTCTTGTGCTCGCAGGGATTCTCCACCTGGTCGGTGATGAACGATATCAGCCTATCGATCCTCTCCTGCTTTGAGCCGCTGTAAGGCTGCTCGAGCATCAAGAGTACATCCTGCAGCTGCTTCGCCGTCAGGATCCTGAACACCTCCAGCTCGCAGTCGGTCACGTACCCCGTGTGGTGGTCGCGCGCGCGGTTCGTGAAGTCCACCGCGAACTCGTCCAGCCGCGCCCTGTACCGGTCGACCAACGAGCGTACGTCGTCGCCGCTGATGTGGATCCTCTCAGACTGGAACCTCGAAGCCGCTGTTGTCGGTTTAGGCTTCGGCCGCGCTGAGGGCTTTGGCTTCTTGCCGCCATCGGCACTTCCAGCCGCTCCAGAGGGTTTCTTTTCCACGTCCTGCCATCCGTCAGCTTCTTCATCCATGAACGTCGCGTGCAGGTTGGATCGGAGGAGTCTTCCGACCAGCTCCTCCCGCGGTCCTGTCGAGTTGTGCTTCCTCCTTGCCAACTCCGCACTGAGCTGCTCCTCGGTCCAGCTCTTGTAGACCCCCTCGGATTCGTCTGAGTCCTTCTCGAAGGAGTCGTCTTCGAACTCTGAGCCCGGTGTCGGAGGCCTCGTGGGATCCAGCCCAAGGTTGTCGCTCTCTTGCTTCACCTCCGCCTTGACCTTCTGCGAACCCAGCACGAAGGCATCCACCGGTCCCGGATGGGGAGATGTCAATTCTTCCGCTCCGTCGTTCAACCACTTGAACTCCATGTGCGCCGTACTGTCCGTAGCCATCGTTGCCGCCACGTTCGCCGAGGAAGAACCCTTCTTGCCGTCGCCCTTGCCGCCAGGCTTGAACGGAGACGTAATCCCCGCGATCACCTTCGGGCACTCTGGGTCGCCCTTCCAGTGGCCTGGCTGAAGGCAGTCGTTGCACACTCCGGACTTCTTTCCCCGGCCGCCACTCGTGGTGTTCTTCCCGCGTCCCTTGCCGCGGCCAAACTGCTTCTTCTTCGCCTTGAAGCCCTGGTAGAACGCGTCCAGCACCACCTCCTCTTCGTCGTCCATGACGTCCGAGTCCTGATCGCCGTACTCGTACTCGTCCTCCTGGTGGTTGTCTGGCGCCTCCTCCGCCACGAGGGCGTCTTGTGGCTGACCGTCTTCGTCCTCGTAATCAGGGTAATCTTCATCTTGGCTGAACTCTTCATCTGCGTCCATTCCTCCTGCGTAATTGGCATTCCAGACCGGCCGTGGAAACCAGCCTTTTCCACCTCCCGATGCTCCGGAAGGTTTTCCTCCTCCTGCATTGCTGCCTGAAGTAAACTTCGAAGTGGGCTGTCCAAACCGCGGAGGGAACTGTCGATACTGCGTGTGCTTGCTCGGGTGCTCGTTCCTCTTGTCCACACGCCGCTTCTCGTCTAGGTGAACATCTCCATATGCCATCTTGATCGTTGCTTCGATCTTCTCCGAGTTCCACTCCGCGCCTGCTGCTGCTAGTACCTGCCGCTGGGCTTCTCGTGATAGCCCTGAGCTCCGCAAGAGCTTTCTTGCGAATGAGGTGTCGGAGTACGTAGTGCCAGGGTCGTGTACCCTAAGATTGCGCCTGGCCGTCTTCAACCTCGCGATGTAGTCGTCGACATCTTCTCCGATGCCTCTGCGGCACTTCTCGAACGCCCTGAGGTGCTTCTCGCTGCGCTCGTAGTCCTTCTCGGTGAACTCCTCGTCCAGAATCTCCATCAGCTTCCGCAGGCCGACCTCGCTGCTGAGCACGTCTAGGTCGAGCGCCTCGACCAACTCCCTTGGCTGTCCATCGCCCTTCTCCAGGCTGAGGTACACCTAGGGTCCGAGGTCCGCTGGAGCCACCTTGTAGATCTTCTCGATGACCTCGAATCTCTTTTCGCCACTCGCGATAGGAATTGGGATTCCTCGCCAACTCCTTGCTGAGGACCGTGAGCTTCACCCCTGGCATTGGACCATCACCTCGAAACTGCAGACCACCTCCGTCGGCGCCTGCTTGTTCTCCTGCCTCTGGCATCGTGTGCAGGAGATCCCAACTGCTGTTCACAGACTCGCTGTCCGTGCTCTCCGTCTCGTCAGTGTCTGTGGCCTGCTGCGGCCACTCACTCGATGAGCGCTGCCCACTGACTCCGTGAATGATAGGAACCAATCGCTCCCGCTACCAATGCGAAGATCTGCTTGGAATGAAAAGATGCTTCTTTCCTGCTGCTCGTGCCGAGCTTGACCCGAGGCCTACGGATCGAGTCTGCTGCATGCTAAAACCACAACTGCTTGCTACAAGCAACAACTGCGGCTGCTTGTCATCCTCCTCCTCTCCTCCTCCTCCTCCTCCTCCTCCTCCTCCTCCTCCTCCTCCTCACTCCTCCTCTTCCTCCTCCTCCTCCTCCTCCTCCTCCTCCTCCTCCTCCTCCTCCTCCTCGAGTTGTCATGGGTGAAGCGCTCTCGGGGGCCTCTTGGAAACAGTTTTGGGGGTTCTTGGCGGACCTATTCTGGGCCTCTTGGGGGCATCTGGGGGCCTCTTGGGGGCATCTTGGGGCCTCTTGGGGGCCTTTCGGGGCCTCCTGGGGGGTTCGACATGTCCGCTCGGGTTCCCCTCTGGGCACCCTTTTCGAGCCGTCTTTGGGGCCTCTTGGCCGTTTGGGGCGCCGTCTTGGGGCGATATTTGGGGCCACTAGGGCCGTCTGGGAGCTTCCGGAATCCGAGCAGGCGAGAACGCCAAACACCTCACCAACCATTAAGAGTAATCAATGGTTTGGGTTGTTTTGGGCCTTATTGGGAGGCCTCTTGGAGGCCTCAGCGGGCGTCTTGGAGGCCTCTAGGAACATCTGGGGGCCATCTTGAGCTTCTTGGAGCGATGACTCGGGGCCCTCTTGGACCAGCTTGGGCCTCTTGGGGCCTTCTTGGCTCGTCTTGGGGCCCTCTTGGGGGCCTCTTGGAGCCCCTTTGTGGCCTCTTGGGGCCTCCTGGGGGCCCCTCGGGGCCCAGGTCTCGAAACATCCGCTGTGGTTCCCCATCTGGGCACCCTTTTCGAGCCATCTTTGGGGCCTCTTTGGCCGTTTTGGGCGCCTCTTGGGCCGCCTTGGGGCGACCTTTGGGGCCACCAGGGCCGTCTGGGAGCGTCTGGAAGCCGAAAAGGCGAGAACGTCAAAAACCTGACAAACCACTAAGAAAAATCAATGGTTTGGGTTGCTTGGGGTCTTATTGGGTGGCCTCAGCGGGCGTCTTGGAGGCCTCTAGGAACATTTGGGGGCCATCTTGAGCTTCTTGGAGCGATGACTCGGGGCCCTCTTGGACCAGCTTGGGCTTCTTGGGGCCTTCTTGGCTCGTCTTGGGGCCCTCTTGGGGGCCTCTTGGAGCCCCTTTGTGGCCTCTTGGGGCCTCCTGGGGGCCCCTCGGGGCCCAGGTCTCGAAATGTCCGCTGTGGTTCCCCATCTGGGCACCCTTTTCGAGCCGTCTTTGGGGCCTCTTGGCCGTTTTGGGCGCCTCTTGGGCCGTCTTGGCGCGATCTTTGGGGCCACTAGGGCCGTCTGGGAGCGTCTGGAAGCCGAAAAGGCGAGAACGTCAAACACCTCACAACCAACTACGAGTGATCAATCATTTGGGTTGTCTGGGGCCTTGTTGGGAGGCCTCTCGGAGGCCTCAGCGGGCGTCTTGGAGGCCTCTAGGAACATCTGGGGGCCATCTTGAGCTTCTTGGAGCGATGACTCGGGGCCCTCTTGGACCAGCTTGGGCCTCTTGGGGCCTTCTTGGCTCGTCTTGGGGTCCTCTTGGGGGCCTCTTGGAGCCCCTTTGTGGCCTCTTGGGGCCTCCTGGGGGCCTCTCGGGGCCCAGGTCTCGAAACGTCCGCTGTGGTTCCCCATCTGGGCACCCTTTTCGAGCCGTCTTTGAGGCCTCTTGGCCATTTTGGGCGCCTCTTGGGCCGTCTTGGGGCGATCTTTGGGGCCACTAGGGCCGTCTGGGAGCGCCTGGAAGCCGAAAAGGCGAGAACTTCAAAAACCTTACAAACCATTAAGAGTAATCAATGGTTTGGGTTGTTTGGGGCCTTATTGGGAGGCCTCTTGGAGCCCTCAGCGGGCGTCATGGAGGCCTCTAGGAACATCTGGGGGCCATCTTGAGCTTCTTGGAGCGATGACTCGGGGCCCTCTTGGACCAGCTTGGGCCTCTTGGGGCCTTCTTGGCTCGTCTTGGGGCCCTCTTGGGGGCCTCTTGGAGCCCCTTTGTGGCCTCTTGGGGCCTCCTGGGGGCCTCTCGGGGCCCAGGCCCAGGTCTTGAAACGTCCGCTGTGGTTCCCCATCTGGGCACCCTTTTCGAGCCGTCTTTGGGGCCTCTTGGCCGTTTGGGGCGCCTCTTGGGCCGTCTTGGGGCGATCTTTGGGGCCACTAGGGCCCTCTAGGGCCCTCTGGGAGCGTCCAGAAGCCGAAAAGGCGAGAACGTCAAAAACCTCACAAACCACTAAGAGTAATCATTGGTTTGGGTTGCTTGGGGCCTTATTGGGAGGCCTCTTGGAGGCCTCAGCGGGCGTCTTGGAGGCCTCTAGGAACATCTGGGGACCATCTTGAGTTTCTTGGAGCGATGACTCGGGGCCCTCTTGGACCAGCTTGGGCCTCTTGGGGCCTTCTTGGCTCGTCTTGGGCCTCTCTTGGGGGCCTCTTGGAGCCCCTTTGTGGCCTCTTGGGGCCTCCTGGGGGCCTCTCGGGGCCCAGGCCCAGGTCTCGAAACGTCCGCTGTGGTTCCCCATCTGGGCACCCTTTTCGAGCCGTCTTTGGGGCCTTTGGCCGTTTTGGGCGCCTCTTGGGCCGTCTTGGGGCGATCTTTGGGACCACTAGGGCCCTCTAGGGCCGTCTGGGAGCGTCCGGAAGCCGAAAATGGCGAGAACGTCAAAAACCTCACAAACCACCAAGAGTAGTCAATGGTTTGGGTTGCTTGGGGCCTTATTGGGAGGCGTCTTGGAGGCTTCAGCGGGCGTCTTGGAGGCCTCTAGGAACATCTGGGGGCCATCTTGAGCTTCTTGGAGCGATGACTCGGGGCCCTCTTGGACCAGCTTGGGCCTCTTGGGGCCTTCTTGGCTCGTCTTGGGGCCCTCTTGGGGGCCTCTTGGAGCCCCTTTGTGGCCTCTTGGGGCCTCCTGGGGGCCCCTCGGGGCCCAGGTCTCGAAATGTCCGCTGTGGTTCCCCATCTGGGCACCCTTTTCGAGCCGTCTTTGGGGCCTCTTGGCCGTTTTGGGCGCCTCTTGGGCCGTTTTGGGGCGATATTTGGGGCCACTAGGGCTGCCTGGGAGCGTCCGGAAGCCGAAAAAGGCGAGAACGTCAACAACCTCACAAACCACCAAGAGTAGTCAATGGTTTGGGTTGCTTGGGGCCTTATTGGGAGGCGTCTTGGAGGCTTCAGCGGGCGTCTTGGAGGCCTCTAGGAACATCTGGGGGCCATCTTGAGCTTCTTGGAGCGATGACTCGGGGCCCTCTTGGACCAGCTTGGGCCTCTTGGGGCCTTCTTGGCTCGTCTTGGGCCTCTCTTGGGGGCCTCTTGGAGCCCCTTTGTGGCCTCTTGGGGCCTCCTGGGGGCCCCTCAGGGCCCAGGCCCAGGTCTCGAAACGTCCGCTGTGGGTCCCCATCTGGGCACCCTTTTCGAGCCATCTTTGGGGCCTCTTGGCCGTTTTGGGCGCCTCTTGGGCCGTCTTGGGGCGATCTTTGGGGCCACTAGGGCCGTCTGGGAGCGTCCGGAAGCCGAAAATGGCGAGAACGTCAAAAACCTCACAAACCACCAAGAGTAGTCAATGGTTTGGGTTGCTTGGGGCCTTATTGGGAGGCGTCTTGGAGGCTTCAGCGGGCGTCTTGGAGGCCTCTAGGAACATCTGGGGGCCATCTTGAGCTTCTTGGAGCGATGACTCGGGGCCCTCTTGGACCAGCTTGGGCCTCTTGGGGCCTTCTTGGCTCGTCTTGGGGCCCTCTTGGGGGCCTCTTGGAGCCCCTTTGTGGCCTCTTGGGGCCTCCTGGGGGCCGTCGGGGCCCAGGTCTCGAAACGTCCGCTGTGGTTCCCCATCTGGGCATCCTTTTCGAGCCGTCTTTGGGGCCTCTTGGCCGTTTTGGGCGCCTCTTGGGCCGTTTTGGGGCGATATTTGGGGCCACTAGGGCTGCCTGGGAGCGTCCGGAAGCCGAAAAAGGCGAGAACGTCAACAACCTCACAAACCACTATAGTAGTGCACGGTAGTGTTCATTAAACACGTCCGCTTGATTTCGCTCTGTAGCCATCGCTTCTGCTCAAACTGGCGCTGTGTTATGGCCCTCTTTGCCCCTGGTCTCTACCAAGTTCGAGACTGGGCTGCGACAGGTCTCAACGCGGCCAACCTCTGGAGCAATTGGCAGCGGGAGTGCCACTGTACGTGCACCTTCACGGGAGACCACGACAAGGACTTGGTCCAGCTCCTCCAGAGGCAACTGGACAGGCGGGGGCCATAACAACTTCGGAGCGCCCCTCCACAGGGGTGCCCTTCGGTCTTCTGGGAGGCGACAGTGATCGGCTGCCTGGCGACCCTCGCCGCCATCGCCTGCGGGTATCTGGTGGGCAGGCTCCATGGACGTGGTGCCGCGCGAACTGGCGGGCATGATGAAGATGGCGCGGCCGGGGGGCCGGCTCTTCTGCCTCTACAGCTTGGAGGAGAAGCTGTACCACGAGCGCCTGCACTGTGGGCACGTGGCAGGATCACTCTGGGCGGTAGCGACGCCTGATGGGGACGTCTTGGTCGAGGACTTCGCCGACGCCGACCGCGCGGAGTTGCACCGTGGCGGGCCCCGCGGCGGCCCACCGCCGCAGCTGCGCAAGAAGTTGCTCTATCGGCTCGACCTCGACAAGGACGTGCTCGCCGCCCTCGCGGCCGAGTGTGCTCAGCTGGCTGAGCGCGAGCGCGCCGCCCTGCCAGCGGGCCGCCGCCTCCGGGGGAAGCAGGCCGTCCCGACCCTGTCGCCCGAGACGCAGCTCGCCCTCGACGGTGGCACGACAATCCCGGTCGGCTCCGACGGC